GTTTATTTATATAGTGCATTTTACAGACCGAGTGCTTTGGGTGACCTCGGTCTGTAAAATGTTCAGAGTCAGATATTGTTCCATTCTCTCCACACGGTGATGATGGAAGCGAGTTCCTGAACTCACTGGAGCATCAAAGTCCCCAACCGACACCATCCATTCATTCACTCATTGCATTCAAGGCATGTTTTAATGGTAGGGGAAACTGGAGCACCCGGAGGAAACCTACACAGTCATGAGGAGAACGTGCAAACTCCACTCAGAAAGGCCTGATTCGAACCCGAAACCTTAATGAGAAGTGAGAGTGCCATCGTGTTGCCCATAAATGCTGATCTAAAGCTCTTTCAGGCCAACAATATGTGAATGTTATTAATTATTAATGAGTTCAATAAAACCAGTTTTATTGAACTGTTATTCCCTTCCAAGAGGTGAAGTGATCACCAGAGTCTGTATGTTTGTCTGTGAGCAACAAAACTCATGAGCAGATTTGGACAGTGGCACATTCAACAACTGACTCCCTGATTCATCAATCAATCAAACTTTTATTTGTATAGCGCCTTTCCTACAAAGCGCCTCACAACCCACATCACATCAACAATCATAAACATTAAAATCTACATACACATTAAAAGAAATATTAAAAACAGACTAAAATCACACATCCTGGATTCAGGATGGGAACTGCGCCTCCAGGCAGAGGTCTGCAGTCTACGAGCATTGAACGTTACCAGCTTTAAGTGTCTACAAATAATTAATTGTACAAGTTCTTTAAACATCATACATAGACGTAGCTCACTACAGGAACAAAAGCTGTTAATCCCTCGCACAAGCCTTTGCTCGGGTAAAGGTACTTTCTGGTTATTAAGCCAGTTACACTACAGATGTTTACCGCTCCCCGCTGCGTCACCACTGACACGAGATGGGAACAAAAGCGCCCAAGCCCCCCTCCTCTTCTGCAAGGTTACCGCGGTCCTCCGTCGCCGCTATAACAAGTCACCCTAATGAAGCCCCAACAGACGAACACTTAATACGAGTTAAGAGTAAATTAACCTTGAAGACTTTAGCGCATTTCTTCTTCTGCTTCATCTCCTACGCTTCCCACAACCAAGGACATCCGTTTGTGTAGTGTGCAGAGGTTAGAACAAAACATTCCAGTGACGCTTTTTTTGCTTTTTTTCTAGACGTCTGTGTTCTGCAAATGGATGATGAGCTAATGGTTCACACAATAATTCTGCTCGGACCAAACTAAAAGAAAGAGAAGCACCCAGTCCGGATTAACCTTTCCTCCTCTCCCTGTTTTGTCTCCTCGCTGCCGCTGATCAATGGCCTTAATGATGGTGATCAATCACAAAAATGAAAGATTTACTTTCCAATATTAATTTAGCTTTGCATCGATTCTGGACTGAAGAGTGTTTCTGCCATTATAGCTTTTTGGGGAGCAGCAAAGGAGGATCTAAAAACAAGTCGTCCGTCTTTCTGTTGAGAGAATGCCATACTCTGAACTCTGAGCATGCACCGAAATAATGTCTTTGAAATTAAACAATGAAAATGTTTGATTTACTTAAATCCCAACTGTGGTCATGCATTTTCAATGTGTGATATCTGTGTGAAACGTTTGCTCTCAGGCTATGCATGTGTTTGTTTTAATGTAAGTCTATGGATTTTTTTGTCTTCCTCAGCAACATAAAGTAGTGTCTCAGCTTTAGATAATTTGTGTTGGACTTGTGCCTATAGTTTTGTAATGAGTAATACAAAACTATTCTTTTTGTTCAGAAAACCTACCAAAAAATACTATCAAAACCAATATGCAAATCATTTGTTCAAAGCCCCATAATGTGAAAAAGTAAATACACAAAAATAACTAGAAATGAGCAATAAACCAAAAAATATATAATACTGGATATTTTTCAAGTTGTGGCAACCCATTCCCATCAATATCCACACAGATTTAGGAAATAACTTTGAACAAATGTTCTATTAGCTAACTAGAGCATCGGCCCCTACCCCATCTTTGTTTGCAGACCTTAAAATAGGCAAAGCAGGGTGAAGTGTCTTGCCCAGGGACACAACAACAGCAGGCATCAGTGGGAGCAGATGACATGGGTTGTGGGGGGTTCGAACCCATGACCGTTAGGTTCAAAGACCAGTGGTCTACCAACTGAGCTACTGTATAAATGAATATAATTGAATAATTATTTATGAAAAAAACCGTGGTACACTAGCATTAAGAAACCTGGCTGAAAAACTAGCAAAACTAGCTAACGCCTTGTTAGCCGCTAAAATCAGGGTCAGCACTAGATCATATACGGAATCGGGACGGAAGCGGAAGTAAATATAACAAACTACCTATTCATGCCTAAACTTAACCAGCCATTCCCATAAAATAACCCAAACCCAGCTTTAACCCTAACCTTAACCATCTTAATCAGACGCCTAAAACTTAACCAGTCAACACTTACGGACTTTTTAGTCTAAAACTAATTCGAAAGAAGGATTGTTACTTCCGGTTTCGTCCCGATTCCGTTTATGATCTAGTGCCGACCCTAAAATCAGCTGTTGTTGTCATGCAGCGTGAACAACTCCATCCACTGCACATTCTTCCGTGTTGCTCCACGTCCCCGTTATGCATTTTGTTATGTTTTGACAGTGTTCGCAAAAGGGCAAAGGCCTGCATGCTGTTCCTCTGGGTAACACAACACTGATGCTTTTCTGTCTTTAGAGAGTCCCGAATCACGTGACGAAACACAATAATCTTCAGCGGTGTCGACCAGACTCCGGTGAAGACAGCCAGTGCTAATGATACGCCACTCATCGCAGCACCAGGGGTAGACAGGATTTATGCCACAAGCCCATTCTGTCTGCAGCGTGTTGTCATGTTATCGCATCAGCTGATCAAAGGCTCGATAAAGGACTTGAAAGCTTTGTGGTGCATTTACTGGCCCAGGACCAAATCTGTTTTTACCTGTCTCGTGAACGCTGTTTCAGAGGCAATGGAAGTCAACTGCACGCCGAAGGAAAAGACAAGTTGGAAAATGACAATGAGAGAAGTGACTAAAGAAGGATATGAGGCCGCGGAGGATATTGAGTCAAACTTAATGGTTTGATCTTTTGATAATCTTTGGAAGCAATCACCGCACCAAACTGAACTATCTACTTTACAACCAGACAGCAGTCATTTTTTCTCATCACAATGTATGTATTTTGTATGTATAAATAAAGATTACTTACTTACTTAATATTATAAGTTAACCGTAAGCTAGTACTGTTTATTTTTATAGTGCATTCTACAGACCAAGGTCACCCAAAGTACTTTACAATTCAGAGTTCAGATATTTTTCTATTCACTCCACACACGGTGGTGACAGAAGCGAGACGCCAAACACAATGATGCATCAAAGCCCCCAACCAACACCATCAAATCAGACCTAATGTACATGGTTTAGCCTTGGGAGAAACAGCACCCGGAGAAAACCTACGCAGACACGAGGAGAACATGCAAACTCCACACAGAAAGCCTGGACTTATTGTGAGGGGCTACAGGTCACAAGTATGTGGCATGTTTGGCAATGTAGAACAAAACCTCTTATTTCTAAAGTAATATGTAAGATCCAAAGGGTTGAATACAGACAAAGTATTCTAGAATGTACCATCTGTCAGAAAACATATCAGCCTGCGTTGTTTGTTATTCAGGAGAAATGATATTGTACTTAGCTGCAGACAGAGTGCTCCTTTGCTGTGTAATGCTTTTAAGCTGGGTTGCTGGGCGTCACGGTTATCCCCATCTTCCCTTTCTCTTTGTCCGTACATTGCTACTCAGCCGCAGAGAGAAAAAGTGGAGTAGGTTTTGTTGATGACTTAAGGGATGGAGCACACACCAAGACTTCTAATGCACCTAGTATTTAAATAATCCCCAGGTCTCCTTTATCCGTTTGATGCCTTTGTTCACTTTGAAAAGTTATCGTCATAGGCCCCTGTTCTGCCGGGGATGAGATGGGTAGAGAGGCAGGATGATGCAGCCTATATACCTTTTTTTATGCTCCATCTGAGTTCCCAGAGCGTGAAAGAACATCTGAATACACATTGGAAAAATCTTATCACGCTCCAGCCGTACAGCCAAATTCTCCACTTTTTTGCTATTTTCGAAAGCAATGCAACAAAAAAAAAAGCACCAGGAATAATCATCTGCGCTTATCTTTCCGCAGTACTGAGGGGGCTTTAATGAGACGCAGTGATCCATAGTGGAAAGCTTAATAATTCATTGTGGTAGCTTTGCAGGTGAACCCTATCACATTACAATTTAAAAGCTCTAAAGCTGGTATTGCTGAAGGGAATGCCGTGTGATGAATGCTGGGCGGCACACACGGAAACATGGACACACACGGAGCTTGCACGCACATATGAGATCCTAATGAGGCCCAATTTGCTCCAAATAGACTCGTATTGCCGTCCACGGGCTTGTGCAAAACTCCATCAGCACCTTAAGCGACAACCCCGTGGTACTTTTAAGTGGTAAACACAAACACTGCTCATTGAGAAGTGGCCCCGTGTTTCTAATTTGAAAAGTCACACCTCATATTAGCGAGTTTAAGCGACTGCCTTAACAGTAGACGAGTTAACATTCCTGCTGCACACACCCGAGACAGGCCGAGAAATAAAACTAGCATTTTACTTGTATTTTTCCCAAGGGCAGAGAAGGGACTGTCCACTCCTTTTTTATAATGTCACACACACACACACGCGCACACGCACACGCGCACGCACACGCACACGCACACGCACACGCACACACACACACACACACGCCCTCTTTGCTGGCTCTGATCCAGAGACACTCAAAGACTGGGGCATTAGTATTTCTGTGCTCTGACATTCTTGTTTTCATGTGGACCTTTGCTCTGATTAAAGATCTAGAACAGTCTGCTGGCATTTCTTATTCGCAGCTAAAACTCATTTTCTCCCACAGAACCTTCAGACATTGTACAAAGATGGGGTCGGCTTTGTCAGTGACCTCTGGCTCCGGCAGGCTGTGGAGCGCATCCCAGATGGGCTGGACTTTGGCCCACACTGCTTCCTCTCTTTGTGCGACTCTCTATCGGCTGATGTCCCCTTCTCAGCTCCCCAAAGGACAGACGGAGCCCGGGTCGCTTGGCACAAGGACTGCACACAGGAGTGACCTTGCGGGGCTGCCTAATGGAGAACTTGGCGTGGCTCCACACTTTCTCAGCCAGCAGACACAGGCGTCCCACTCTGGGTCTGTAGATCGTAGCCGCGCTCACCCCTAACCCACCCCCTGTGTCTCCATCTGAGGCTGAGACACATCACTGACATTAATTGTCACGAGCAACGGGAGTGGATAAAAGCTTCCGGCCCCTATTCACCACAGAGACACTGTTATATCAAGTGGTACCAGAGTTCATTCTGCTGCAAGGGTCCAGACAATAGCATGACTAGCTGAGTGAGAATGGCGTGTGCGTGGTTTCATCGACACTGTCAGCACATGCGAAGATGAGAAATGTCAAAACGCATCAGAATCGCGTTAGCCCCAGTAACCCTCTGGAAATAAGTGAGAAGGGATTAAGTGATGGGGAGATCATTCACATGTGAGGTATTATGTGGGATAAAACAGATCTCTGGTGATACACTGCTACAATAACTTCATAATATACTTTGCAGGGATGAGTTTTTTCTGTGGCTGATGAATATGAATGTTTGATAATCTAATTAATCCTGCTTACACATTGGAGCAAAAATAAATAATCTTCAGCAGGGCTAATCACACTGGTAAATATTTATCTTTTTGGTGAATATGTCAATTCAGACTGCTGCTTTTCACGGCTTTGGCTGCATAAAACCATCCTTATGCCAGACGAGCCGCTGTTACCCCTCGCAAGCTCTGGCGTATGAAAAACCTAAATTTCGCCTTTTTCAATCAAGACCTTAGAAGGACCAAAGGAACCCTGCCTGGGGATCTGAAATGGCTTGCAAAGGACTTCAAGAATTGTGATATAGCCATGGGACATAGCCAGCTGAGCCATGAAAGTAGAATCTTAAAAAATCAATTCTGAAACTCACAGGTAGCTGCGGCAGAGATCATTTCAGCTTGGAGCATTGCAGCAGCTTTTTGGAGGAGTTATAAGCAGGGGAAAAGGGAGAAGAAACAGTTTTCATGGGCCGCACAGAGGGTCCGGGTGAGTCACAGTAATCCAAATGAGGAACAGAAAATAAATATGGAAGACTTCTACAGGTGTCCTTCAGATAAAGAGGCTGTCTGGGTATCTCAGTGCTGTGGACTGAGTAGAATTGGTCAGAACACAGATAAGAGTTTCCTTTCAATGAGAAGAGAACAAAGTCAAGTTTTTGGATGGACGAAGGTATGGTTCGAACCAAGTTGTGAAGATTTCAACATGTATTGTTGTGTTGTGCGTCTGTTTATTTTCCACACTAGTTATGTTTTGATAGAAAATAAACGCTGCAGATGAATAGAACACAGTTGAATACAAACTACAGTATATGTAACGTAATGTAAGTAATGGCACGAGAAGCTTTGAGGATGCACTTAACATTTAATTTGTTTTTATTTTAGGAGTTATGTCTGGTAAGACTCGAAATATGTTAGCGCTTGCCTTGAGTTTTTTTGTGTGTTTGTTAACAAGTAGCTTGGTGGCCTATATATCTGGATATCAATCTTTACAAATTAAGATTTATATCCACACCCCGCTCTCCCCGGTTCCTGTGGTAGAGGAAAAAAAATACTTAAATTAGAGGTTTTGAGCTTTACAATTGTGGGCATTAGTCTCTCACTCCACACAGAGATGGGAGGGGCCAGTACAGGAGGCTCATGCCAGAACTATTGTACATGTTTATAGTGGTAGGGGAAAAAGGAGTACCCGGAGGAAACCTACGCAGACACAGGAAGAACATGCAAACTCCACTCAGAAAGGCCCTGTTCTGACCGGGATTCAGACCCAGGACCACAGTGCCGCCCACAGCATATGGGTATAACTGGTGTCCTCTGGGCTGTGTCTAAATGACTCTTCGATGGACGCCTCATGGATTCAAATCCCCATTGGTCAATTTCACAGGAAGGAAAAAGGTCAAGACGGAATTTGAATAAAATTAAATAGTATAATTTTTTTGTACATTCTTTTCCACACATTTTGGTGAGTTTACAGTTGAAAAAGGTTCTGATTCATACCAGAAAGCTTAATTTTAATTGAAATAAGAGGATTCTTTATTCATCAATGAATAAAGTTTGATGATAATGTATATGAAATGGTTTGATGGAGCGTTGGGAGGGCTACAGGAGTAATGAGATGAACATGGATAACAGTAACAGCAAACACTTTGAAAGTACAACAATCCTTTTCCCTCAAAAGACCAGTCTATAATTGCACATGGACATGTCGGGTTTTTTTTCCCAAGGAAAGTTATTTTCATGGGAAATGTATTTTTTGAGTCTGAATGACACAATTTCTGAATAATTGGCTGGATTGTCAGGGACTTGCATGTTACAGTTCCACTCAAAACCCAATTAACATTTCTAAGAAATAGAAACAAATCAAACTGATTTTCTGTGACAGCAATCAAGCAGACCAAAGTGCTCTATCTCCCATCAGCCACTGGGGCTGTTTGATTTTTACCTTTTGGTCCATTTATTGATCATGACAAGATTTTGGGGAGTCACCTCTGGATCCAACAATCATTTTAATTCTCATGTGTGGGATTAATCCATCTTTGTTCTTTATCCTATAATCTCAAAGTCAAAAGCTTTTGTTCCAATGTGACTTCTTCCCACATTCTTTAACAAAACCAACTGTTTTGGACGGAGTTATCAGTGAGGGTCATCTCTGTGACTTTGCAAAGGAGCAGATCTGTCTAACTATACAGTATTTAATCAATTGTTCAAAGAACGTCAAAGGGAGGTTTGTTTAACTGTATCGATATGCTGACAACTGAAGAAAGTGTTTGTCCACAGGTTTACAGTTCATCCATGTGCAAGCTGCACTATTCCTGACATCGTAAATATATATATATATATATACTGTATTTATAATGTCGGGCCATAATCCTATTTGAAGATGATTCAGGGATCACAAACTAGAATTTAATGATTGATCCATGGATAACAGCTGCTATAAACGGACACACAAGTGTGTGAGTTAAACACGCTAACAACTGCATTAGCGCAAACCCATTTTAACGGCGCCATTTATTTATTTTTTTGATAGTGTTAATACAATGTGTCTTTCTTCTACTCAGTATCGGTCAGTATCCCCAGTTATAAAGTCTGTGTCAGGTCGCTATGGCGTTGCCTTACAGACTCCGATGAAGTTTTTCTTTATACTGTACTAATTTTCCCTGCACAGTTCAAGTGTGCGCATGGATCACTTTAATGAACTTTAATGATATCTTTAAAGTTTTACGTTTCCTTAAGACTGAGTGTATTAAGCAGCGTGCTGGAAGCCATGTTCCATGTGCATTAATCATGCATGCTGCGGACATTATGTTTTATATTGCTAATTATATAAAGCGAACAGGGTCATTACTTACTCCACCTTCCACTTCCGACAATATAGTGGTCATTCCACGGCTATCAATATGGTGTTGATGACAGCCAACCAGTGCCCAATGCAAATGTGGTGGGGAATGAGAAAATGTACTTTTAGTTCTAGATTATGGTGTGTCCCGTGGGAAAATAAAACACGGGGATGTCAAACAGATGTTGGGTCAGTGAGTGAATTTCAACATATATAACATTGCACCAAAGTATTTTTAGTTTTATAAAAGTTCTGGGGTTTTTTTCAGATCAACTTAGACTTAAATACAAGCAGTCGTGTTCATTTGAAACTGTTTCCATAACAGAGCTCTCCTTAATCTCCTGAGCTCTTGGGGTTACATTTTCCCCAATACAATGATAATGCATTGGAAGATCATTCTCATGTCATTATACTTTCACTTTGTACACATTGGTGGTAGCTACTGCTGTGGCCACAGGGCGGACTGACAGAAGTGAGGCTGCCAACATCTCTGAGCATCACCAATAAATCTCTCACACTTGGCAGTTTTGGTGAAGAGTGTTACCAAAGGACACTTCATCCCCACAGCTGCTGCTGGTTTTGTTTGACTGTCACTTTACCAACCTAAATTTGAGATTGTAGAATTTATCTTATACGCATTTTTAAGCTCAGAAAAGTCTGAATTCTGTCAAAAAAGTAAAGTCTGGGTTGTCGGCCTCTGTACAGAGGTTTAGTAATTTAGACATCTCTGATCTAAATCCTATGAGTCTGTTGAATTCAGATTATCATCACTACAAAGAGTTTTCTCAAACAAAAGCAAAGAAAGAAGAGACGAGTGGTCAAGTACCTGTTACTTTTAGATGCATGGAATGTTGAAAGTACACGTGTAAGTACAGTATATGGTGTTTCACTTCAATATTGAAATTGTGTTGCAAATAAGAAGGCTGCACACACAATGATCCACAAGGCATACATCTACCTAAACACACACCACCCCAATCTGAAGTCAATGCAGGGCTGAGACTACAACATCTTCAAAAGTGCTAAGTTGTCATTATATTACACGGTATATTACACCGCCTATCCTCAATAAATGTGCAAATCAGAGGAGGCCAACAGGTGACTGTGCCGCAGCCAAAAGAGCAAGTGATTTGAACAAGAGCTGGCACTTCTCTTCTTTCTCACAACCTTTGTTTAATTATCTTTCAGATTCTGTGCCAAAAATCCAGAGAGCCTCTTTGGACCGTCACCGCTGTCTGTAGCCTCCGCTCTGCATTACACCTGCTTCACCGATATCAACCCAAGGGATTCCAACATTTTGATAGCAAGTTCGAAACATGTACTACACAAGTATGGTGTAGTGTGTACACGTTGTGGCGTGTGATAATGTTTTCCAGTGAGGTTCTGGGGTTCAGCCAAATCGGTTGCATTCATGTTCCAGAATGTTTTTTCAGTTGAAGAGCAGATGCCAATACTACTTCTATGGGGGAGAAGCGTTTTTTTAAAGAAATGTGAAAACAAAAATGTCCAAATGTTATCTCAGATATTCGATAGGGATGAGATTCACACACCTGCTATTGTGTTCTTATAGCCTGGCCTTACCCATCCGAAAACTCCGGTCAATTATCATTTCTTACATGTACGTCTGGTCTGATCCTACTGGCTGCGGTTGTATCCCCTTCGGCCATTCATCAAGCGGCGGAGGCGGGTGTTGTAGGTATGTGTCGATGATGCAGAGTTTGCACCACATTTACAAGTTGTAGTTAGGCAATGGCGGCGAATACGATTGTAAAGTAATCTGTTCTGGTTTGGCTCCAAATAACAAGAAATTGAAGCCGGAGCAAGAGGAATGTTTAACAAGTTTCATTGCTGCAAAGATGTTGTGGCTCTACTCTCCACAG